ACTCACGCCCCACGCGGATGTCCGTCGTATGCCCCGCTTGTCGCCCCCGAGCCCCCCCCCCCCCCCCCGGGGTCGCTATCCTTGTTTTGTAAGGCCCCGCAGAATGCGCCAATGATTGGTGGGGGGGGGGCATCAAGGGTACCCACGGTATGTGTAAATCAAGAAGCAACTACCGTCCCACGACTGCTCCTGTCCGTCGTGTTCTGATCTATCCGTTGTGAAAGAATCCGTTTTGCAACGGATTCTGATATCAGACCCCATGTGCGGCGCGATAAACCTTGTAAAAAAGTCAATAAATTGACGCCGTAGAAACCTCCGCGGGAAGGCGCGGAGAAGCACAATAACGATGTACGCAAGGAACGCAAATCATTTCTTTTTTTTTGCCCCTGTAATATGGCGTGTTCACTTATATTTCATCTCCAACCCGCTCCCAGTACCAATGCGGTTGCCTGCCTTGTTTTTTTTTTCCATGGAGATGCAGATAGCGCCCCTTACTCACGAACTTAGCATCTAAGAACCTCTAACAATTCAGTTGCTCAGAACTTGAGCACCATTTGTGAGTTAGGCTAAGAAAAAACTACACTAAGAGCTATATAACGACCATTTGTAGCAACCAAAGAGAAACTAAGAATCCCCCCCTCGGCCGAAACTAGAGGAACACGGTTTTTGCTTGTGTTTTTTTCCATGTCGTTCGCCCAATATGGACCGTGAGGGCTCAGTGCGGACAGACGAAGGTACAGGGATCGGAACGGTGTTAGATTTTTTTTTGTGAAGATAACAACGGCAACAGCATCTGACTCGTCCCCGTTGTGCCCCTCTCCTGCCTGCCCCATCAAACGTGCATGTCGTTTTTTCTCTCAACGCATATTGGTGTTTGAAAATTGAAAAATAAAAATATGACGCAGCTGGTCGTGGTATGCCACCGGTTGAAGGCTAGCCCGACCTTCAAGCGTATCGCCAGCCCGCCGGTGATGGGGTGAGTGAGATGGTGGGGGGGGGGGGGGCAGGAGAGAGAGATGGGGGATGGATAGAGAGAGACAGAGAGACAAAGAGAGGGAGGAGAGGGGGAGAGAGAGATAGGCAGGCAGAGAGAGAGAGAGAGAGACTGTAGAGACAGAGACAGAGAGCTCTCGATCATTAACTCCTTGTGTCAGCCGATCGTCACTGTATTTGTTTTGCTGGAAATCACGGCGAAGGAGGGTAACACCCGAAACGCTCTTCCATATCCGTACGTTGACCCGTCTCTAATTCGACACCAAAGCACCACGATTGATACACGGAACCCCATATATATATATATATATATACACATGTTACGAATGCCTCGTCACACACGTGTTTCGCGGCGGAGACACTAGTAAAGCAATACCAAAACAATACCAAAACTATAAATAGGTGCATCGCGGGCATGTTCGCGGGTCTGCTGCCTGTTGGAAGGAAGCTGCTTCTCGGCCGGTCTGCTCCTCTTTCGCCGCTCTTCGACGCGCTCAAGGTGAATAGCCCCCCCCGCACCCTTCATGCGACTCGCCGAATGAATATCTCACGGCCCTTCGCGCTTGGTGATGTGAGAGCCTGGTCCGGCGAGAACCTGGCGTGCTCCGTCTCGACTTTGTAGGGATGCGAGGTCAATGGTCTAACGACTACGGCATGCACGACTACGAGTACACCTGGCGTCTATACTGTGGCATAGGAAGTGGGCTGAAAAGACGGGAAGTAATTACGAACGAGAGACCCTGAGTAGCAGGGTACGGCGCACCCTCCTGCTACTCACGGCGCTTCGCGCTTGGTGTGATGTGCTAGCCTGGTGCGGTGAAAAGCCGGCGTACACCGCCCCGTCACAGATTTGCGGGGATGTGAGGTCGATGATCAAATTACTTAAATACGGCAGGCACGACTATGAGTACCCCGGGTAGGGGGGCATAGGAAGAGGGCTGACAAGGCGGGAAGTGATATCGCCAGCATGGATTGATTGGCTCGGAAAAAAACGTTTTTGATCCACCTTTTGGCAAAGTAGGAAGGAACGATGACCATCGGTGATCGGTCCTGTGGGAACAACAATGCTACGTCCTCTATTGACGACCCGTGGCCAATGGTCGAACAGCAGCTAGGGATGCAAAACATGAGCACCCGTCCGTCCCTCCTCCCTCTCTCCATGCATGGCTCGGGATTCACCAAGCTCCCCGTGTGTCCGTGTTGGTACCGTGTACGACACGAGATAACACACCCCCTGGACCGATTTTCAAGGCTCGATTTCTCAACAGCGGAGAGAGAGTCACAGCGCCGAAAACGGTGGCGTCGAAGCCGCCTCGTCGAGAGAAGGCTTTCCGAAAGTTTATCGTTTCGTTTATGCATCCTCTCCGTCGTGGAGTAATGAAGCTTTGAATGATCGGTCCGTGGGGGTGTGTTATCTTGTGTCGTACACGGTATGCATATCCGCTGCACGGAAAACCGCCCGCCCGCCCTCTCGTTTTGGCCCAGGCTCAGGGGGATCTTATGCTACGATTGGCCGCTGTGCAGGTTTTAAGGGTAAAGGTCCTTTTAACCGAGCTCACAAAAAACAAAATGGTGCTCAAGGCCTTTTTTTCTTATTTTTACTTTTTATCG